GGTTTATATTTTTGTCAGAGTAATGTTGTTCCTTTTTACCCTACGTAAGCTTTTAAAAAGTTTTACAAGCTTCTTTCAAAGTTTCTTTTTACCATCCGTAAGCTTTTATAAACGTTATTTTAAAAAAAACTGTTGAATCTTACATTTTTTTCAAACGATTAAATATCGTAGACTTAAAAATTATATTAAGGGCTCGTAAACTAAACAACAGTGCTCATAACCAAAAAATCTAAGAGCGAAAGAAAATACTTTTGTTATGGTTTTTCAAACATTGCCGTTTATCTCCTGAAAGCAACGTCTTAAAAATCAAATCATTGATTATGCATCTTATTCCCTCTACTTTCAAATAATATTGTTAACTAGTGGTGTATGGCATCGTGCCTTAAGGCAAATTGCTGGAACTTTCCGTACCAAAAATTAATTTTTAAAAAAAAAAATATATTTTTTTTAAACTTTGAAAAAAAAATAGATTTTTGAGAAATTTAAAATTTTTGAAAGAAATTGACTTTTTTTAAAAAAAAGACATACCCAGACAAAAGACATTTCCTTTGATATACAACAAAAACATACACACATATATACATATACACATGCATGAATTTTTTCTTAGGTATGCCAAAATGTTCAGAAACCTTTGAAACGTTAAGATATATAAAAATTTTCATTTTCGATTTTTAGCGATTACTATGACTTACAAGGGAAGTTAAAAAGTTCTCAACTTCTTCTTGTGATATCGGAGGTGGACCTTTTTATTCACTGTCTTTCAAGTCCCACTCTATATAGTAATAAATTTAACTAAGAATATAAGTGAAAATTTGAATGATTTAGTCACAAACACTCTCGCAGTTTTATCTTGAGTTATTATCGCCTAATATGTATTCTTACATAGTAATACGCAAATTCATTCTAGAATATCCCATATCTATTGTTATTTTATTTCTATTTGATTTCCGAAAATATACAAAATAAGAAGTATATAGATCCACGATTCAGTGCTTCGATTTCTCGACTCAATTTCTGTCGTTTTGTCAATTTGTTTCGAGGGATGAGTGGGGATTTGCAAGCTCAGAAATTGTATGAATAACCAATCATTTTGAA